CCCCTCCTGTTGGTTGTTTTTGTTTTGTTTTCTTAATTTAAATCCGCTGTTTTATAGTTAATACTAAACAACAATTTAACTTTTCCATTCTGGGAAAAGTACAACAGAATGACCAAGCAATGATGAATGTTAACTACTAGTAAGTTTTAAAGCAGAAGAGGGAGGAATTTCCACCACTTCTAACCAGAACAAACCTTTGTTTGTTGGAAGGAGAAGCAGAAAAGTGGGCTAAGCGTGAAGACAGATTGTTGAGACATAAAATTAAGTGAACATATTGCACATGCAGACTACAAAGCAGTATCAGGTGCAGGTTAATGAAACATTCAAGTTAGAGGAGTTCATGGCAGAGACATTTAACACATTTCAACGTTTTTCTTACAGCACATAGCGAAAGTATCAATGATAATTCTGAGGAAACTTCCAAGTCCATGATGTTCCACATCCTTGTACCTGGATGTCCAGAACCTCTACTTGAGTGACCAGCCATTCTCTTTAATTTTTCACTGGATAGCCCAAAGGTTTAAAAATGACAGATTGAATCCAGGAGGCAATCAAGGTATTATAAATATCCCTCTCCAACTTCTTCCATGGCTTAGTTCTATAAAAATTAAATTTTAGACTTAACTTTATGCACAGTAGTCAGTCATCATTCTAATTTGTTTCCAAAATTTGGACCAAACAAGATGTAAAGATATACACCAAAGTAAGCATATTTACTGAAGAATGAAATCTCAATTTAGGAATGGAAATCTGAAGCTAAAAAAAAAAAACAAAACACCACACACAACTAAATTATAAACACAGAATTATAAATATTTGCATGATTCTAGCCTGTCCGAATCTGTCATTTAAAAAACAAACAAAAACAAACCAAAAAACAACACACCAGTCAGAAAAGACCCCAGGCTTTAAATAACATTTCTGTAAGTACATGAAGAACCATATGGATGTCCCCGTTCTTGCACTAAGTCAAGAAAAAGACTCTTGAGCAATTATCTTTATAAAATATAACATGCAGTACAGCAGCATATTTTCTTTGAAAATATTAGGACACCAAAGGGAACCACTGAAACTAGAAGAATACCTCTTAAAGTCTTTACCATAAAAACCACCAAACGACAAAACTCCAAACCCTTTCTTTACAATTCTTTACAAAAACTACCCAAGATTAATATAATGGCCTTTGAATCTAAGCCACTTCAGCCTGAGTTACAGAAAGTATCACATTATTTCACATATTCATCTTTTTTCTTTCTTAGAAAGAGTTAAAACAAAAAACCTCAAACTAATTAATACTCAAACTATTTTCAGTCTTGCTTCATCCCCATAATGGAGAACTGCTTTTCAAAGTAAAACATATGTACTAATAAGCACATATAAGCATGGCAAGAAGTCCCTGAAAATGGTGACAAAAATGGAAGTGCCCAATCAGGCAGCCATACCATGCTAAATCAGTGACTCATGGGAAATAACTACTTTATTTCAAGAGAAGTCTAAACATAACAATTCAAATTAGTGATCCAGGAATCAAAATCTATCTTTATTTAACAGTGTTGCCACCACCGCTGGGGCGGAGGGCTTGCCTACATTCATTTAGCAAGACAAAGCCTTTCTTCTCCTGCAAACATCTCTTTTAGGAGAATGTGCATATGCAAGCCTTTAATATTTGCAGGTGCTACAGTAGAACATGAGAAAAATAGAGGAGTATGAAACCTATCCGAAAGCGCTGGACGATACAAAAGCATTCTTTTAACTCCTCTTTATCTCAGTACAGATTTTCCAAATGTGCAATCTTTGTACCACTGCTTGCAAATATGTTTTTCTACTACAGGTGAACCAGGGGAAAAAAAAGTTGGTTTACAGAAGCTTAGGTTCTGTTTACCACCCTTTGTTTGCTGACACATTAGGTTTTGGGTGGGGTTTTTTCCCCCCCATTTTCTGCATAACCAGATTACTCTGAACTAAATGCAAAAGACCACCACAGTGATGACTTTTTGTAGCTGCAGTTCCAAAATTGTACTAACTATTGCAGAGATTTAAGTCGAATTTCTCAGGATAATGTTGCTTGTTAAAAAGGACTGAACTATAAAAAACAGCTTGGCTCCAAAGATTCTATTACAACAGACATTGGTACTCCCTATAACTGCATTTTTTTGTAATGCTACTAAAGCCACTGTTCCTCTGTACTGAGGTCAGGCATAACACTCGTCCTGAGAAGAGTAACTTCCTTCAAAGAGCAATCAGAGTGAAGTGGACAAGAAGTGGGAAGAGAATTATTGGGAACAGCAGCCCTCAAACGAGCACATTAAGAAGCCTCTCTTCCCACCACCAAAAGGAATTCAGTAAACAGAACCTCACAAATACCTGCGAAAAAGAAAGAATCTCCAAGATAACTGCAGAGTAGCTTCAACAGCTTCGCGTTTCCACCCTGGATAATTGTTTTATAAATGGATACAAAACTAACTAAACAAATATTTGGTGCTGGCTGGCTGGGTTTTAGGTGGGGTTCCCCCCCCCCCCCCCCAAGTAGGGGGCGGGGGGCCAAGGAAGAGGGGAAGAACACACTTCTTGCACACCGGTTTTAAAATTACACAAATACCTCAAGAGAACTTAACCGTCAAACCTCTTTTGATTTCAATAAATAAAAAGAACAGACCCTATCATACCTTGTACATGCAAGAAATTAATGTTAATTCTTCTATTTAGGTGTGCCCAAGTAGTACAGAAAACTACTTATCAGCTACTAAACCATTCTTTGAAGTATAAAATAAACTCATGCTGGTAGAAGCATTTCTCAAAATTAACTTAAAAAAAATTTATCATTAATATGCAAATTAAATCTTTAAATTTGTAGCAAAACACTAAAGATTTAAAAACTAAAGACAGTATTAAACACCTGTACATGCCACAATTTCAATATACAGTAGTTTAGTAATAGCTAAAAAACAGAAAAGAAAAAAGCATATGACTTCCTAGTATTAAACACTAGTATGTCCTTTTTAAGCCGACATTAAATCAAAGAAACCACTTGCTGTTACGGTAGTCTGATCCAGAGAAAAATCCCAAGAAGTAACAAGTCTTCAAACACACCACATGTACTAACAAAATCCTCACTAACAAAATATAAAAGGAGCTATGCATTCAATATTTAGACAGTTACCCTAATGCAGTTCAATATAGGCTTACTACATGGTTTTCGTTACTACAAAGACTCAATTCTGGAAGACAAATTCCTCAAGAGGGAATCTAGTCTTCCAGTTCCTGCATCAACGAAATAATTTTAGTCTGCATAGTGGTGTTCATTTTTTAGTTCATATCAAATGTTAAATACAAACAAGCACAATAATTTACTCGGAATTTCAGTTAATAATATTATATGTTACTTATTAGAAAAAATATATGTTTCTATTCATAATTTTTATCAATGTCATGTAACTTTTCAAAATTTGACATTTCCTTTGTTCTGCAGAAAATATTAACTTAAATGAGATTAAATCATATTTCTAAGCAAGTATTCAAAAATAATAAAAATAGTTTTTGATCTGTGACCTTTTAATGTCACATTTGAAGTATAAGGTTTAAATGTGTGATAAGACAAGTTTATAATAGAAACACTGTCATGTACTGGCAGAATTCCCAGCTATATCAAGTTCCATAAAACAGAGACTTAACAAAGCAGCAGCATGTTTCTGGCTACCACCTTGGCGATGTGAATCCAACTAATATGATCCACAGGAGACTGAGATCCACTGTCTATACCCTACACGCTAGACAGAGAAAGATTAAGATTATAACTATAAAAAGTGTTATCTTATTCATCATTTATAAATAACGCCCAATTTATAGCTCTGAAGTCAATCAGAGCACTGAAGATTCTTTGGAGTGCCTCTCACATTCACACCACTGCAAACTGGTTCAGTAATTTTGATTGCATGGGTTCTCTTTAAACCATGAAGGGATTAAACAACTGAATCCCTCAAGACGACTAGCTGATTTCTGCAAACGTAAGTGGGGAAAAATAAACTGATGATAAACTGATTTTTCTGGAGTATGAGTTTCCAATAGCAAGTCATAACATCCTAATATACTATTGATATATTGTTGATAACTTTGACTAGTTTGAGACATTCCACTTTGCCCTCGTCTCAAGCTATTATTTACTATGCTGGGTTTTTTTTATTGTTTTGTTTATTTGTTTAACTTACTAGGTTTGTGCTCAGAATAGGCTTACATTTCAACAAATCAATTAAAGAAAAGTAAACTTTCTAACATCAGGTATGCAAGAAGTATCTATCCAGTGCTCAACTGTGAAGCTGAAGACGGTAGTGCTTTAACTGCTAGAAGATATAGGCAGAACGGCAATATGACAAAGCATATCTAGTGATTGAAATTTCACTTTGAAGATACGTAGTGAGCAGAAAGATATTCTCCCAAACTACAAGAAACAGAAGCCTAAAACCAGTGTTTCAAAGTCAAAGAAGAAAAATCCATGTCATGTCGGATTTCTGAAGGGCAAAGAAAAACAGACTTCTGGAGAGCTCAGAATAGAGGAAAGACACTACAAAAATATGCTAGTCATCTAAGAAGTACAAAGGCCTGCTGGAAGTGATTTTAAAACGGACCTCGCTTAACTTGTTAACATAAACAATGTTTTAACTCTTGAAGCATCTTAAGCCCTGCATCTGATAAATTTATTAATAATCACAACCATCTTTCAACGGTCGATACAGCAGCATTAACCACCTAACTTCAAAATCATCCCTTAAGTAATTAAAAGCTTTCCACTTACACTGTTATATTAGGAGAAAAAGAACACAACTTGCTACACGTTACACACACAATTCTACAACTTGCAATAAGAAAAAAACCCCACCACAATGACATCAATTTCAGTTCTCCAATTAGGAAAAACCAGAAATATTGTTTTGACATTAAACAAAAACTAAACATGAATATGACAACTGAATTATATTGATTATTCCACCCGTGTTTGTACTTGCCTAGCAATACTTTAGCATCTTCCACATCAAAATCTCCATCTCCATCAGCATCATATATCCCAAGCTTGCCTAGAAATGCAGAGAGATGAAGAGAGAATTAGAGATTCAGTAGTTTTGTTTCCAGCACAGGGTTTTCAATGTGTGATGGTTGACCGTCAATGCTAGGTTGTTACGTTTTTTTTTTTAATGATTTAGCCGTACTCTTCTTAACTACATTTTAAATTTCCTGGAAAATATTACAAATATTTTAAGCTCCTTTTTGCATTTCCTAGACTTTAGACTGAATGCAAGTTAGGTTTTTTTCCACACATTTATTTTGGTGCTTGCAGATTTAAAAGAAATCTGTAATTAAGCAATGTGCTTTACGTGAACATGTTTTGCTCAGAATAAAATTTAAGTTCACAAGGAACATTTAACGTGTTTAACGGAAAACAAAGAATAAACCAAGAATTCATCAAATAATCACCATTTGTTTTCTGATTACATGCTTCTTGCCATTCTATATTCTCAGAAAAAAAAGATAGGTTTATAATTTTTAGTGCCAAGTTAATAGAAGATAAGCACAAAGGAAAAACATTCATAATTTTTATCAACAACTGTATAACGTTCACTGCAGACAAAAAAGATGTCTATCCTTTTATAGTCTACTAATACATGAGACTTCTCACTTTTATTTTTGAAATTGCAGCTCTATCAGCCCTAAGTACAGGCAACAGGAAAACCCAGTTTCTATTCAAAAATGAATTTTTAGCATAGAATTGTGGTACCCAGATTAGAACTGTCTTGGGATCACCAAGTAAGTAGAGAGCTATCTAATTAGCTTTGATAAAATTCAGACATAACTTTTAATAGGATTGAAACTCTGCACACTGTTCGCAGAAGAACTCTAAGTCCTTACAGTTTGCGGGTTCATTATTACACTTGTCATTCTCTAAATGGAGGCAGAACTTGATTGCCATGAAAATAAATGAAATATAGTTCTTCATATTGTACTTAGAAAATTAGAAAACAGTTTTGTGGAAGAAAAAGTTCAGACCTGGGTCTAGAATAGACAAAAATAAGGCCATCACCATTGTACAGAAGCAATCAATTAGAAAGGATCTTTATCAGTTTATGGTTAAACACAGCAGACTGGTGGAATAAATGTAATTCTCTAGAAAGAAGAATTGTATCATCTTCAAAACAATGAAGAATGAGACGGATGAGAAATGACTGAGTTTCATGTCATTGTAGAAGAACAGCAGTTCTCTAAAAAATTAAAAACATGAAAAAGTAAACCAAAATTTTTAGCCAAGGGACTGTAAAGCAAGCTTATTTCTCTAATATCCTACCTTGTAGGACCTCTGACAAGTTATAACGGAAATCCTTTGCTTTGGCTGCATGCATGGTAAAAATATAGAAACCATTATTTGCATCACTAGACCCAATTAGGTTTCAAACCAGAAGTTTCTCTTAAAATCAGTTCAGATCAAAAAAAAACACGTACCAACAGATCTGTAAAGCTATAAAGCTTGTAAAACCCGCAGTTACAAAAGTGCATGTTGAATTGTACAACATCAGGGACAACAGCTCTACCTATGGACATACATCTTGAAATTTGAGACATTAATTTTCACCCTTAGGTATTACATTAACAATACTACCTTAACATTGTCATATTGAGATACAATTATCACCGTTATAAGCTTAAAACTAAGGTCATTCAACAGCTCATTCATGAGAGGACATCTGATCAGTTGTGCTGACTCTATAGGCAACACAGTCCATCAGAAGAGTGGCAACATTAGCTGCCCACTTTCAACCACTGCTGCAAGTTTCTGAGAGCTTAAATTGAACCAATGCGTATCTAGCTGACACTTCAAATGAACTAGAGTAGACATGTTACAAAGAGATCCAGATCTATCCTTGGAGATTTCTTCAATTCTTTAATAAATGCAGTATGTTAATAACCTTTTTCAGCCTTATGAGAATCCCATTTTAACATCATAATAGAGTTCAGCATTAAAACGTACGTTTTGAACTACATTGCCTATTCTTATCATGCAGGTCATTTCCAAACACTGCAGTAGTCAGATCAGCTATCTAGAAATTTAAAATGGCCTCCATTTAATGCATATCATGATAATTATTAGAAGCGTCTTGAGATTTAAAATTCTTACCTAGAACTTCTTCATAATCTACAAGTTCAAACCAGACAACTGCTACCGATGTCCAAACTCCCAGCAAAGCAATTACCATAAACCAGGTGAAAAATGAGCTTCCAGAGAGACCTTCTTTCTTTCCATTCTTGCTTCCTCCATGCTTAGTTTCTGTTAAAATAAGGCAAACAAGTAGGAAAAATAAATTTGTATGAGAGTTATATCCTCAATCATAATTTTTTAAGTCTTTTATTCTGTGTAGTCATAAGAAACAAGACATCTGAGTGACGCTTTTTTGTGGGTTGGTTTTGATTTTTAAACTTCACCACTGTTACTTGCTTTTCATATCACCAGGAATTATGGTGGGAAGCTTGATAATCATCTAAGTAAAAGCCCTATAACCAACCAAACACCAAAAACCCACATGTAATTTGTCTTAACAACTTAGTTGGAAATCCCCCCTTCCTCCCCTTTAGTGTATATTTAAACAGAGCTTAACATTTTTGAGATGCTTTGCATTTGTGCCAACAGTTCTCCAACTGCCACCAGAGGGCAACAGGATCAGGAGAAACAGTTTGAAAGAACAGCATTTCTTCCGAAGCAAGTTTTAAAGCTAGTTGAATTAGCTCACAGAATCAACATGGAAATTCAAATAACCTAAGAAGGCTCTAAAATCTAAACCATATTAAAGGTAACACTACAAGTTCAGACATTCGACCAACTAAAAATATCTTCCCTGTTGCTTAGAATCAAGCAGAGATTCACTACATGCTGAATACCTTTAGACTTCCAGTCGCATGGAACATACAAATAAAAGTATGACACACAGACTTAATGCAAATCACAGCTTCATTTATAACCACACATACGGAAAGTAAGTGCATATAAAAAAATACAGTAGTTATAAACAAACCACTGGGAAAAGAAAGACTTCAATGTAGAATATGTGTATGGGGTTTCACACAGGCATCACCACTAGAGAAGACATAAATTGCTTGGTCCGTTGCTTTAGAATCACATTAGGGAAAGGATACATATAGTAAATAAATGTGCATCCAAAAAGATGCCTGCCGCCTTTCTCCAGAGCTTGAGGTCTGCTCTTCCGCCTCCCGATACTACTGCTGCAAGGCTGGCACTTGGCCACAGTTTCATGTCCACCAACCTACACCACTTCATTCCCTTCTAAGCACCAGCCCTTGCCCGTTCAGCTACATTCAGTTCTAGTTACTGAAGTAAAACTATTTCTTACATAGCTTGAAATACTTGAAAAACTCTGTCATGAATATTGTGATAATATAGTAAGGTAGGGAGTTAACTTTATTATCTAATTGCAAGGAATGTTTGATGTATTTATCAATACTAATTGTAGAAAAAGAAAAAAATACTCTGAACAGCTACACATCAACATGATTTTTTTTTTTTTTAGAATAAAATGGAGCAGCTCTGAAAGATAAGTAATGAGACACTGGTGACTGACTTATTTCTGTAATAGATATTATATAGAAGTACTTTCAGACCCTGCTTGCCATCAGATTCACAGCTGTAATAAATTAACCTTTTATTACATTAATTGTGCTATACACAGTTCAGACCAATAAAAGTAACTGACATACATCAGCTCTTACTCAGCTCAGCATTTATTTTTAATAAAAGATTTTTTTTTAAGACTACTCTTTACAAAGATCAAATACCAGCTATTTAGTTTGTTTTCTATATTAAGCACAAAGTTGCCTCAATATAGGCTGCCCAATAACAGTCAGAGAGAAGTCGAGCCAATTCAGCCTCACCCCAGGCACCTATCACTACTTACTGCACAGTACCCTAATTATGTATGTGCAAGGTCCATATACATAACTCATCATAACATCTCTCTTGTGGGAAAGACGTACAGGTAGCCTGAAAACAGAGGCAAAGCAGCGTGTGCCAGTACATTCAGAAACACGATTAACTGTATATGAAACTTATTTGAAGTACTCTTGAGCTGGAAATGGTAATATTCAGAAACAAACAATTACCCCATGTAACAGCAGAACTTTGCCACTCCTATGTTCCAATGCAGTCAATGGAAATTTTGTCTGTATTTAAAATGAAACCTTAAGGATAAAAACATTTTAAATGATGCCAGGTTACAACATCGTTCTAGAGCAAACTAGGTATCAGAAGAGGCAAACAGAAAAGAGAATCTTACTGTATTTCACACTTACTCATTTACCTTACTTTTTTCTAATGTTTACTGCTAGTTGCCTCCGAATAAAGCGGCTTTACTTATTCAAAGAGAAACACAGGAAAACAAAAGACAGCTTGTTTAAGTAATCAAGCATAGCTGTTCAATTTTTTTCTAGTCTAAAAGACTGTTTCATGCAAATCCCTCAAAAACAGATTCTGCTATAAAAATATCCTTCACAACAGTCACAAAGATACATTTTTATGCTGTGGCTTCCTATCTTATAGGAAAATTATTTTCAAAACTCTTGAAAAATTCTGCTAAGAATTCAACCATGGCAGTTTGATCAGGGAACACTTTAACAGAAGTGGAAGTTATGTAACATAAAATGTACCTATGGTCTGCAGAGATAACCCTACACGCAGGGTCAGAACAAAACACTGCAAGGACTGAAGCTGGCTCAGAGCTCATTCCAGACAGTTAATTCTCAATTCAAGCCCTTTCCTTGCACATGCTGCCAGCCATGTCAGAAGTAGGTCACTTGCCATATCTGGTAAGCCTGTGCTTACACCACCAGATGTCTTTACGCAGATATCAGAAAGTCTTAAAGTGTGCTCTATTCCTCAACGGCAAATCTTTAAAAGTCCTATACCTCACCCACCCCCCATAAAGAGTCACGTCTAGATAAAAATGTATGAAAATCTTTTTCCTTTTTACTTTAGATTATGTTAAAGACACCTAGTAATTTCACATATTCAAAAAATAACTTTAAAGTCAGGTATTTGAAGACAAAACAAGGTCTCTTATTTCAATGGATGCTCTACTCAAGCAAAAACTAAGTTACAATTAACCACCTGCCATAAACTCACAAAACACCTCTAGTCCAGAGAACATTTAATCAAAGAGAAGAGAGGCAGCCTGTAACGCAGACTAGAACAGCAAACTGGCTAGAAAATACCAACATACCACAGTAAGCCAGTTATTTTGCTGATCACAAAACGCAACACAGCCGTTACTAGCTACCACGCATTTTCCATTTGTTCACAAAAACGTTAGGATTATACCTGTGTCGTCAGCCATAACATTAGTGCTCGATTTCTGCAGACAGAGCGAGTGTGTCCGTATCTCCAAAAATTAACGCTGAAGGCAGAATAAGAAACGATTTATCCTCACTGTAGTCTTGCAACAGGAGCAAACAAGTTTCCTAAAGCCAGCCCAGCTGGAACTCGAAACTGGACCCAAGAGAAACCTCTCCTCCAAACCTATTTTTAGAGCAGTTATCGTCAGGAGCCAAACGCTTTTCAGAACTGATATGGCAATCTAGTTCTGACGACAATCAAATTCACTTACTCCTCCAAACAGAGCATCCTGGGTAGTTGATCCTTTCCCCTCCCCTTAATCCTCCAACATCAAACACAGCAGCAAATGAAACCGAGCACGTTGTACTGTAGTATTTTTGCTGCAGCGTATGCCACAGTGTCTGAGCTCTAAGGACACAAGTCTGGACACAAAACTTGCCTGCTTGCATTTGTTAAGTTGGCCCTCACCCAAGAAACTTTCTCCACGTTGGCACTCCTCTACCAGGCTTCCCGAGTATCCTGTGGAGACTGCTCATTTGAAACTTGCTAGTTACTTTAAGAATAAAAGGCAGCTAATTTCTAAACGGTAGTTTTGAGCCTTCTACAAGAGTTACTCAAAACTAACCACACACATTCTTGCCAAAGAATATTCAGATCAGAACTGTTCCCCAGCACACCTCATACGTGCTTCCAGCAGACCCAAAGGAGAGTTACCGATAGTTTTGCCAAAGCAAAGCTGGTTTCCCTAGTGTGCAATATGCCACATGCTGTAAAGCTAAACCAGGCAAAATTTCTACTGCATGTTAAAAGTAGCAGAGGCATTGATTTTGCTTTGTTGCCCTCCCTTTCTTGAAAAGACTAACACTAACTCACCTCACTCACCCCTCCTTTAAATTCTGACAATATGCACGCTACCTATAGAATTTAAAGCTAATGCCAATGATTAATGATCAACATACTCTCCTCTTCTTAAGGATCAGAAAAGGAGAAAAAAAAAAAACCCACACACTAATACACTTACATCTTCAATTTTAGCAAACTATTATCTTTCCACTGTATTTCAAACAACAGCCAGCTCCTTTTGGGTGGGTGGAAGACAGAAACAAACTAATTTGTCATTAACAGCAATCCTAATAAAAACTTTAGGATCCAGCACTCTGCCTTTCTTCCCCCATGCTTCTGGAAATAACATAGCCATCAGGTAGATGGAGTGAACAGTAGAATGATACAGCTATTCTGAAAAGCAACATATACCTCCTGTGGTTTTAACATCCAGCAACTAATTAACAAATGCAATTCCCAATAGCTCAAGGGAGAAAAAAAAGTGAAGAAATAACACCCGAGTTTAAGACTTTTCAAATGGATGTAAAGGAACTATAGGCAGTTGATTCTATAACTAGTGTATCTTTTAACTATCCAAGTGGAGACTGGTGACAAGAGGCGTTCCTCAGGGCTTGGGATTGGGACTGGCGCTGTTTAACATCTTTGTTGGCAACATGGACAGTGGGATGGAGTGCGCTCTCAGCAAGTTTGTCGATGACACCAAGCTGTGTGGTGTGGTCGACACGCTGGAGGGAAGGGATGCCATCCAGAGGGACCTGGACAGGCTGGAGAGGTGGGCCTCCATGAACCTCATGAAGTTCAGCAAAGCCAAGTGCAAGGTCCTGCACCTGGGTCAGGGCAATCCCAAGCACAAATACAGGCTGGGCAGAGAATGGATCGATAGCAGCCCTGAGGAGAAGGACTTGGAGGTGTTGACTGACGAGAAGCCCAATATGACCCAGCAATGTGCGCTCGCAGCCCAGAAAGCCAACCGTGCCCTGGGCTGCATCCCAAGCAGGGTGACCAGCAGGTCGAGGGAGGGGATTCTGCCCCTCTACCCCTGTCTGGTGAGACCCCCCCTGCAGTACTGCCTTCAGCTCTGGGGTCCTCAGCACAAGTAGGACATGGACCTGTTGGAGCGAGTCCAGAGGAGGCCACGAAGATGATCCGAGGGCTGGAGCACCTCTGCTGTGAGGACAGGCTGAGGGAGTCAGGGCTGTTCAGCCTGGAGAAGAGAAGGCTCCAGCAAGACCCTAGAGCAGCCTTCCAGTACCTAAAAGGGGCCGACAAGAAAGCTGGGGAGGGACTTTTGACAAGGGCCTGGAGTGACAGGACGAAAGGCAATGGCTTTAAACTGGAAGAGGGAAGATTTAGATGAGCTATTAGGAGGAAGTTCTTCACGATGAGGGTGGTGAGGCAGTGGCACAGGTTGCCCAGAGAAGCTGT